CCTCCCCTTCCCCCTTCCCCCCCCCCTTTTCACCTGTGCAGTCTAAGCACCGCCCCCTCCAGGAGCAGTCCCGCCGTCGCCTCGTTCGGAGCCCAGACCTTCACCACGGCCGAAATCGGCGGTAGGCCGCTCCGCCGACCAACAAATTCCTCGCCGCCACCGGGGCCTCGCGTCCCTGCCCCCCCCCGCCGACCCCGCGGCGCGGAGGACACCGCCTTCCTCCCTGCCGCCGCCGCCGCCGTCGATGATGGTGCTCCATCACCTTTGCGGCTCTTGTTCGGGGTTCGAGTCGTGTCGGCGTGGGGGCACACGCACGCCACGCGCAGCGTGATGAGTTGCCTGGATGGAAAGAGAGAAGCCGGGCAAGTCACACACACGAGGGTCGTTAGGACGGGGGTCGGGTTTGAGGGGAGGGGTCACGAGATCTCTTCCCGTGGCCAAAGGGTGTTGGGTGTGAGAGCGCACGCAAGCCACGTGCAGCGCGTGACGAGTAGGTTGCCTGGACGGAACAACAAAAGTCCAACAGCAAACCACGAAAATCAAACAGTCGTTCGCGAGGTTCGATAGAACGGCGTCGGATTCGAGGGGTGAGTCGAGAAACCTTCCTGAAGTCAACGGTGTGGGTACGACTGCCGCTTGCGTTCGTGCGTCTTGTAAACTCGCACCGATCGGCCACGACCGACCTGCCGGCTGACCAATGAAAATACGCCAGGTTCGTCAGGAAATTGAAAGCATAAACGAGCGATATGAGTCACAATAGCGGATGGATTTACCTGACTCTTCGATCGATACCGTCCACACTCCGCAGGCGTTCGTCCATGGCCTTCTGCCGCAGACCTTCCATCACCTGGTGGGTGGGCGGTGGAAGGGGGTGCAGTTGACCGGAACATGTCGAGGAGGTGTCGCCGTGATAAAACGCATCATTGGGGCATCAACGGGGCAGCAAGACAATACCAGTGGCAGCAGCACCACCACCACCACCAACAAGAACAACAATCTCACCAACCTCACAAAAAAAAAAACAACAACAACAACCAACGCAGGATGGGACTGCCGAAAGGGAGACAGCGCAAGACTTCTACCTTTGGACCCAGGTGACGAGAATGCCGAACAAGAAGATAACAACTCATGATCAATATGTGCTGACACAACAAATGCCGACAAAAACACTTCAACGAACGCGCGCCTGTTGGTGTCGCTCCCTCCAGTCCGTAACCTCCTTCCGCCCCTCGGCGGGGAGCGCTTCGAAAAACGACGACGGGTTCTCCGCCTGGTAATTGCCCCAACAAGGAAAAGAGCACAGCACCACCACACCACGTATCGTGGTCATCCGCAAAACACAAAATCTAATAGCGTGATGGGAGACTGGTGGCAGCCAATGCACAGGCCTGTGTGGTATTTTAACAATTCATCAAAAGCCAAGAGCAAAGCGCCCAGCACTGTGTGTCACCACCGGGAAAAACACAAAAAAAAATCAACGGGGTCGAGACCAGAACTCGGATTGAGGATCTCACAACCCATCAGGCCAAGGGCCTTTTCAGCTGTCCCAGAAACAAGTTTCACACTCGAAAACGAAACGAAAAGGTGTTGTTTTCTATCTTCTTCAAGGCTCTCAAGGTCGACTTCGGCAGGCACCGCGGGCTCCTCGCAGAACGAAACAAATGTCTCAACGTCTGGTGAACCCCCCCCCCTTTCGAAAAAACAAAATGCCCTACGTCAATGTAGCTAGTGTGTTGAACCAGACGTTGAGTCTATAGCTAATGCGGTGGACCTCCCCCCCTTTTCGACAAAAAAAAAAAAAAACTCCGTCAGTCTAGAAAACTGTCACGACGACGAACAAGCGAAACCCGTCCGTACTGGATGCGGCGATGTGCTGTTTGTGCCCATACAACCACACCACGAGCCGAAGTCCATTTTGAATATCGTTGCGATTCGTGCGGCTCCTTTTGGGCTCGTCGTCATGCTCCCGCGGAATTATATTGCTATTTTTTTGCTCATGCTGTGCTCTTTTCCTTACCTCTCTCATCCTTCGAAACGAATCCGGGAGGGCCTCTTCGAGCTCGCGCATAACCTGGGTGGGAACCAAAAGGACAACGGAGCAAGAGGGTCATATCAAGAGCGGTGCAATTCCGCCCGAGGTCTAATAGCCCGTTCCCACTCACGGATCGCACGCCAATGCAATCCTTTGAGCTATCTCTGTAGCTCCGAACCAAACGAACACTACTACGAGAAACACAACTCCGACGGTGAGTTTGCACCGCTTCAATCCTCTCCATTTTCCAGAAGCACGTATTGTACAAGACATCGGGTTGCGCACCTCCTCCTCCATCCCAGCAGCCTCCGTCTCCATGATTCGCTGCATCCTTGCCAAGTGCAGACTCCGCTCGCCCTGATTCCGCGTGTCGAAGGGCGACGAGAAATGAGCGAGGCTTTTCTGACTACCATCGCCGCCGGCGTTTGTCACATCGGAGGAAAGACATTGTGATCTGAAAATATTAGGATATCGCAGCAAGTTTGCTCCAAGACAGCCTGTAGTACCTGTGATCGACATACCGCAAACACGTGGGAAAACCGCAGCCCCACCCACCTCGGCTACCCCCCCCTCCCCCCCCCCCCACCACAAAAACAACGATACAGCAAGCACCCGCGTTTGAGAAATGTCAATTTGAGGTCGAGGCTCGATTTCTCATTTCGTCACCACCCTCGAGAATAGGTCAATATTCGTATAGAGCATAGTGTAGGGTCATGGCTGACGTGTGTTTCTAATTAAAGTCGATTTCTCAAATGTATCGCCAATATCTGAGCCATTGTTTCTAACGGCTTGTTTCGCATAAGAAATCGAGTGTAGTGTAGGGTCACGGCTGAGGTGTGTTTCGCGTATGCACAATAGTCGATTTTTCAAATTCATCGCCAATATCGAAACCATTGGTAACGGCTTGTTTCCGAATCACAGGCGCTACCTAGGCGTCCCACCTCCTCCTCCGCCTCGCTGAGAACGCGCCTCCGACCCCCTCCTTCCCCCGACCCTCCTTCCCCACCGCTGCCGCCGCCGCTCATGTACAGCGCCGGGTATCGCCGCAACACCACCACCCGCGTCGCGGAGACGACGCCGCCGCCTGCCGCGAGCCCCAAAAAAGAGAGGGGGGGGGGGGGGCAACGGGAGATCCGGTCCGACCCGACCAGTGCATCAGCTAGAGGAAGTTTTCGAAATCACCAGCATTTTGCTGGGTGCGGCTCCGGTGGATGAAAGAGCGCGATTTGTCGAGCAGTTATGCCGACAGCACGAGCGGGGGCCCTCAATAGTGACATTGTCGAGGGCCTTTAATACTAGTGCCGGTATGTGTCAGGCAGGCCGACACATAAGCCCTGCTCACACTATGAGGTATTGACTCCAGCACTCCATCGGTGTCACGCGATTTTCATCGGTAATGTAGGGGGGACCGGCACTACTCTGCCGGCAACGAGCCCAGACTGTTGCCAAAAGGCGCTCCCCCGGACGCGCAGCTACATCGAAGCTCGAAACTAGCCACACACACACAACAGAGAAAAACAAAACGAGACTACAACAATAGCAGCAGCACGCCAACCAATCCCAACCCCCTGCGCACCGAATCATCCCCAACAGCCCCAAGGCCGCCCTCTCACCTGGCACCACGGTGCAGAGAGGAACTTCAAGCGCCGCAGGTTCCACGCCCCCCGGTCCCCCCTCCTCCTCCGCTCTCCGCCCCTGCCGCGGCCAGAAAAAACCCAGGCGGGCGTCCCACCGCGCGCGGCGGCAGGAGTTCACGGCAAGCCGTAGGCGCGGGCCGGCCCCGGGGGGAAACTCCCCCGCGTCCCGCCTCCGAAGGAGTTCCAGCGGGTCCATCGGGTTCACCGCGCCACCGCCGCCGCCGACGCCGACGCCGCCGGTGCTGCTGCTGCCGGTAGTCGCGGTCGCGTTCTTGTTGCTGTATGGGGGGGGGTTGTAGGGTTCGTTTGATGCGATTGGTTGGGAATGGGATCATCGTATAGGAATGAAGCCTGATGCGCAGCGAGCGGCTTTCAGCTCGTCGTGGTGGCCCATTCACGTCTCTGCTCAAGGCTGCGAAATTCCATGCCTGAGGGCACACCAAAAAAAAAGCAATAGGCCATGGACTTACTCGGCGCACCGCCAACTAAAGCTTGCTGGAACAGCTGCATCGATCGGCATCCCGATTGATGAGAGAACAACTAGATGAGATTATTGGAGACCAGAGCGCTATTACGGGGGGTCAACAGGTCAGATAGAGCATACCCATTCCTCTGTCTCTTTCGAAATCCAGCCAACGACAAACGGAGAGGCTAGCCAAGCCACATCTTCCCTGACGGCACGAGCAAAAGAACTGACCCGTCCACTCCACCTGCGTGCCGCTAATCATTCCGTACGAAAACAAAACGACGAGAGACCCTCAACACCCCCGTGCGCACACACACATGCCCTCTATTGGCGAGGTCAGCCGCAAAACAGACGAGCGACGACATCCACCAGCCTTCGCAAATCTTGCTTCTAGAAAGGGGTACAAGTACGGAGGCAGGGAGGGAGGGTAGCGACACAAAGCCCCCCCCCTCTCTATTTCATGGACTGTTCATAATTACATCCTCGCCAAGGCTGTCCTCGATATCCATCACTATTACATCATTTTGCGCTCACTCGATGGGTCCTGCCCCTGCCCCTAGGGCGGCGTTTGCGATGGCGAGCTTCGTCCCCGGGGCGATCTTGCCCTTGCCCCTGCGCAGGAAGTGGGCGAGGGCCCCGTCGAGAGCGGCGTCTATGGGATACCACCCATCGGTGACCTTGAAAAAACAAACAAAAAAAACGTCACGGGGAGGGGAGGCACGAGATCGATTTGAACAGCAGCGTCAAAGCCGGTCGTGGCTCTCCCATGGCAGCGATGGGCGGAAGCCCTAGCCCATCCCCGCCATGGGCGAAGGACGATGTCGCCAGCGACATCGCGCTAGGTAGCGTAGATAAAGGTTAAAGAAGGGTCATGGAGATATTGGAGAGGCTTTGGAGCAGCGCTGATGAGACAATGAGGTAGAGGCAATCCAGATACAAACCGCACTCGGGAGAGCATTCATCTGCGGTTTCGTTGTCAGGGACGGTGTACACCACACAAGAGTCCTGAAAATGACAAACTACAGCCAAGCTACAGAAGGCATCCCGGACTACTCTCTGGCCCAGGGGGGGGGGGCAACGCAAAATACATACCTCCACAATCGCCGCCGCATCGCCCTCCCGACCGCCGAGCTCCTGCGGGGTGTACACCCGACTAACGCAAAGAACCATCGGCCGGGCCGCGGACGCGTCTCCCTGCAACACGGCCTTGAGGCAGGGCTTCTTCGCGCGATCGAGCTCGACGCCGTACCTGTATCGCCGAACAAGAGTCGAATCCACGGAGCCCCCCCCCCGCGCGCGCGGGTCGTGCGGCACCAAGAGCATCAAGCGGGGTTAGGGGATGTTGCGTCGGGTGAGGAAAGGGGTAGCTGGAGACGCGTTGAGCGGCTGGTGGAACTCCGTTTTTCAAGTTACCGACGTTTGGCGTAGGCAGCGGGGGCACCAACCGTAGTCAGATGCTGCTCGAGAAGACATGAAATGTGTCGGCCGCAGTCAAGGGAAGGAGGAAACTAACTGTTCCGAAAACCACGGACGACGGAAAAAATAAACTCGGATGGATGCGCAACAAACATCGGTCCGTCGTCGGCGAAACCGCGGGAAAAAAAAAACCAACAACACACGTTACAAAAAAAAAAAAAAAAAGCGGGGCGCCCACCGATACTGCAGCTGGCGAGCCAACCTCCCCGCCGTAAGGTAACCCCCGGGGAAGTGCTCGGGAAACCTCCTCTCCATTGCAGCCAGCTTCCACACGATCCACCTGTTGGGGAGAAGCAGCGATCAGGGGGGGTGTTGTGGACAATTGGATTCCTTGCGGGAAAATCTCTTGGACGTTTGAGGGGAAAACTTGCCCTCATCCAACCGCACGTCGGAAGGAGAAGCGCCGACACGTGGCTCGCTTGTCTAGAGGCAGTATACACCATCCCACCACGTTGTGATACTCAAGTTTCGCGAATAACGACTTTGGCCACAAAAAAAGCGTGTCGCTCGTGCTTCGCCGCATCTCGCCGACAACAAAAGAGCAGGGAATTCCCAAAACACTCGGCCATGCTCTTCACAACACGCCTCCTCGCTGTGGTCAACACCCGTCGAGCGTCAGCTTCATGTATTCAATAACCATCTCCGATAGTACCTCGTGTGGTTCTGCACCCAGATAGGCGTCGCCAGCTGCCCATCCCTGCCGCTCCGGAGCAGCTCTTCTCGGAAAGAACGTGGCGCTGCTTCCGCTGCGGCCGTCACCGACGGCCCTGATACCACCCCCCTTCCGCCCTCCTCACCCTCACCCGCCTCTAACCGCGAACAAGACTCGTCCCTCGCTGTCGCCGGCGGCGGCGGTGGCGGCGGGGACAGCCGCGGCATAAACGTCGACGATGAGGCAGCACCGGCGGGAGCCGGGGGTACGAAGCGGAGGGGTCGGCCGTCGGCCCCGAAGCAGAGATCGCTGGCGTTCTGCGCAGTGACCTGCCCTAGCAGCACCGCGACAGCGTTGGCGCTGCTGCCCGCCCCCTGCGGTTGCTTGCCTAGTGCCTCTCGCACTACGGCCGCCACCTCTCCCGTGGCCCCTGCTGCTGCGACGGGTGCCTTACCCAATCCCGTCCCGTTTCCTGTATCTCGACTTCCGTCGCCACAAAATGTGGCTCCGTGCTTGTGCGGCCCGCCTCCGGCCGCTGCTTCCTCCGTCTCGAGCGCCTTCGTCCCCCCAGCTGCGACCTCTCTATCCGATACATCGCCGCTGCCGGTGGCACCGCCGCCGCCACCGCCGGCACGCCAAATAGCCTGTTGCTGCGGGTGTCCTGGAATCTGCGGAGGCATGTCCAGAAGAGACGACAGCGGGAGGCGGCCTCCACGGCGGCGTCGCCAGATACGCTGCTCCGCTGTCGACTTTTCAGCACCGCCGCCAGTGGCAGCAGCAGCTGCGGCCACCTCCTCCTCCCCTGGAGAGCAAGCGGCGGCAGAGGTGCCACCGCCGCCGGCGAAGAGCATTCGCGACGCCGGACAGCCGGGGGGAGCGGCGTTCTCATCGTCTGCCGGAGGGAGGGGCGGCGAGATCGAACGCCCCGCGGCCGCCGTCTTCCCCGTGCCCCGCTCCACGCCGCCCGAGCTGCTACCCTCGAAGACGCCCCCCGAGAGTCGCGAAGGGGATGGCCGGGGAAACGCTCCGCGCCCGCCGCCGCCGCTAACACGGAGGCCTCGAGGGCTCGTCAAGGCTCGCATCGGCGAAGGCACGGCTGCCGAACCAGCGGGTGTCGATTCCGACGCCGCCGTTGCTCCAGGCGAAGGACGCGGCCGTTTCATGGCGTGCAGGCTGCCGCCGTAGCCGCCGCGGAACACTCGCCGCTTCGCGACCGACTTTGGGGTCGTAACGACACCGATTCCGCCGCCGCTTGTTCCACCGCCAGCGACCACGGGTGAAGGAGAAAATCCGCCGGCAGCAGCCATGGCAGAGCCAGCGCCGCCACCACTACCGCCACCGCAAAGGGGAGACGGGGAAGCACGACGAGCGAGGAGCCTTCCTCGCGAGGATGATGGTGTCGTGAACCCACCGCCGCCACCGCCGCCAACCATGGCGGCGCCAGCGGCGGCGGAAGGCGGAAGCATGGCACCCTCCGCCCGTCCGGGCGGAGAGAAAGCAGTGCCGCTGCCTCCCGGTCGCCGCGACGATGAGGATGGTGTTCCAAGCAGGCGTTTCCGCGGGCCTTGATCCCGTTGGTTCTCCTTGTCGCCGGCGGCGGGCCTAGGGCCGGCTACAGCACAACCTCCTCGCGAAGAAGCGGGAGGGAAACCGCTCCGCGAAGAGCTGGGAGGAGCGGGGCTTGCCCCCGGGCTCGAAACATGATGTAGCGGGTTGGGACCAGTTCCGACGGCGGCGGCGGCGGCGGCGGGAGCGACGGGAGCGGAGGGTCCGGAGCCGTTCTCGTCCGCGGCAAACATCTGGCGCGCCCGCGCCAAGGCGGCGGGAGATACCTCAACCAACTTGCCCCTTCCGGTCGAAACAAACGCCACCTCCGGTCCCGCCACCGCCGGGACCCCTAGCTCCGCCAACGACCCCGCCAAGCCCGCTCCCGCCGATCCCGCCCCCGCCGCCGCTGCCACCGATCGCTGGCGGAGGGTTTTCGTCGCATCCTCGCCCGCCCGCACTGGAAGGCGTAGCTGCCTCGCACTCCGTGAACATCTGCCGCGCCCGCTCTAGCGCCTCGGGGGAAACCTCGACACGCCTGCCACTCCCGGTCAAAAACCCTCCCACGCTGCCGCCGCTCCCGCCGCCGCCGCCGCCGCCGCCGCCGCCGCCGCCGCCGCCCTCCGCGGGCGGTTTGGCATCCCCACCTGCCGAGCCGTTCCAGTCATGCTCTCCCTGGCGAGCATCAGACATGCCTGTGCCGGAAGCGGGGATAGCCAGACCCTGTGCGCCGGCAAGTTTGGTTGTAGATTGAGACAACGCCAGCGGCGCGCCTCGCCTCGCCGCCGCCGCCGCACCCTCTTGATCTCCCCGTTCGACACCAGCCACGGCTTCAATTTCGTCTCCACTTGCATCGGCCAGGAGTCTTTTCGCCTTCAGCAACGCCTCGGCGGAGACATGGACGGGCCTTCCCCCGCCGGTGATAAACCCGGACGCCGCAGCCGTAGGGGGCGCCGGGGCTTCTGCCGCACCTCTCGGATCCGCTGCGGGACCCTCGTCCCTCAAGAAATCGACGTCTGCGCTACTCCTCCTCATCGTCTGCGGCTGTCGTCCGGAAGTCTGCGGCGTTGCTGTTGTTGTTGTGGCATTGGTAATGGAGCCGGCTTCGTTCTCTCCGGCCGACGCCTCTCCGGCGTCGTCGTCGTCGACAGCCTCGGCGAGCGTTTCGGCAGACCCTCCCGGTTTCGCTAGCCCTCCACCGTCGCCGGCGCCGCCGCCGTTGGTTGCTGAGGGTGGGGCTTTGGTCTCCTTTTCCTCCTCGGAAACCCCGACAACGCCGCCGCCGCCGCCAAGACCGCCACCGCCAACCCCTGCCCGCACGGCGGTGGTGCCACCTCCACCACCACTACCGCTCGAAGCAGTATTTCTTCCTTTGCCGGCACTCGCTGCTGGTGGAACCGCTGCGATGACTCCCTCCCTAGCCGCGACACCCGCCGATGCATTCGTCGGTGAAGCCTCGGCTTGCCCCCGCAGCCCAGGCGCCGCCACGGGTCCGGGAATCCCATCCGTATCGCCCCGCGCTCGAGGCTTGCGGACGGCCGAGGGGCGTCGAAAAGGTTTGCCCCCTGACCCTGGAGTGGCCTGCTGGTGGCGCCGAGCGCCGGCGGCCGGTGGCCTGGAAGTGCGCAACCCTGTCGCCGGACTCTCCATCGCCTCGCCGCCACCGCCGGCGCCGCCGCCGTCGTCATTACCTTGGAAGAGGTGCTGGACCTTGGCCAAGGCCTCCGCAGAGACCGTCAGCGCTCGCCCTCGGCCCGTCTGGAACCCGCTGCCGCCGGTGGCCGGTGGCCTGGAAGTCCGCAACCCTGTCGCCGGACTCTCCATCGCCTCGCCGCCGCCGCCACCGCCGCCGCCGTCGTCGTTACCTTGGAAGAGGTGCTGGACCTTGGCCAAGGCCTCCGCAGAGACCGCCAGCGCTCGCCCTCGGCCCGTCTGGAACCCGCTGCAGCCGCTACCGCCGCCATCGCTATCGCCATCGTTGCCGCCCGTGAGGCCACCAGAGGATGATGCCGCCACACCCGCCGCCGCGTTGTTCCCCCCTGCCGGGGCGGTGTTTCCTTTGAGGCGGGCGCCGTTCCTCCTGGTGGCCGGAGTAGCACTCGATGACGACCCCAGGTGCACGCTCGCCGACCCCGAACCTGCCGCGGCAGCAACAACAGCACTCGCCCCACCCTTGTTACCGCCACCGCCCGGTTGTTGCTCGGCGAACACGTGCTCCACCTTCGCGAGCGCCTCCGCGGACACGGCCAAAGTCCTCCCCTTCGCTGTCTGGAAGGAACTTCTGCCCGCCGCCGCCGCTGCCGCCGCCGCGGGCGGGCACCCCGCCTGGCCCTCCTTATTTGCGCTTGGTCCGCCCCCGCTTCCGCCGCTGCTGTCGTCTGCAACGTTGCAACTGCCGACGGCCATTCCTGTTTCTCGGCCTCTCGGCGATACCTTCGTTGTCCCACCCCTGCGGTCCGGCCCTTTCGCCGCCGCTGGCCTCGTCCCCCCAGAAAAAGACGCAGCCACTGCGTGCCTACCGCCCGCCAGGGACGAGCCTTCTTCCTCTCCCCTGAAAAGGTGCTCGACCCTGACGAGCGCCTCCGCGGAGACGGCCACCGGTCTCCCACGTGCCGTGCGGAAGCCCACGTCGCGTGTTGGCGCCGACGACGCCGCTGTTGTTTCAGCACCGTTCGTCGAGCTGCTCTCGTGCTTGCCGAGTTCCCCTCCGGCCGCACTGCCCACGGCGGCCGTCCCACCGTCAACAACGGGGGTTCCGCCAGCGGCAACACCGCCCAGGCCGCCGCGCGACATCTCCCGCGCTACGCGGCCCGAGCTCACAGCGCTACGCGGCCCACCACCATCACCGCCCGCTGCCCCCTCCCCTCCCGGAAGGGGTTCCTTGAAAATATGGCTTACCTTCGCCAGCGCCTCCGCGGACACGGACAGCGGCCTCCCGCGCGCCGTCTGAAACCCGCTGCCGCCGACGTGCACGACGATGGGAACAAGGTCCGACGGGGGCCCCAGTCCTCCTGCGACGTTCCCCGAAGCAGCGTCGCCGGTAGTCGGCGGGCAACGCGGCGGTTCAGGGCCCGGCGACTTCAAAGCCCCCCGCTGGTCTAAGCTGTCCGGCTTCCGTTGATCTTGCCGGTGGGATGGTGGATTCGGAGGCTTGCCTGCTGCGGACGGCCCGGCGCTTTGGGCAGCGCGAGGGTCACGGCTTCCGCACCCTCCTCCAGGTTTCGTCGGTTGTTGATGGCCCGAACCCGGGGACGGGGACGGGGCAGCAGCTCCGCCTCTAGCAGACAACGCGTGCTGCCGCGAGGACACAAAAGGCCGTGATGCGTTCGGCGAGGCCGCCCCAGCCACCCCACGTGCCGCTGCCGCCGTGGTCCGATCCGAGCTTGTCGTCGCCGCGTTCGTTGCAGCCGCCGCCGCCGCTGCCGCTTCCCGCCTGGCTGCAGCCTCGACGCGCCGTGCGGCAGCGTCCGCCGCGATCGCGAAGGGAGACGCGGGCAATGTCTTTGGCTCTCTTCTCTTACGACGGGGGGTCAGCATGGACCCGACGCCGGTCTCGTACGGGTTGGGCACCCAACCGGTCACCGGGGGGGGGCGCGATGGCGGCGGCGGCGACGGCAGGGTTTCCTTTTTCGCGGAAGGAGGCTGCTGCGGCGGCGATGAGGCGGGCTTGGTCTGGGCCGCTATCGTCGTTGTCGCCTTGACGGGGAGTTCCTCGCAGAGGGACCGCTGGAAGCTTAGCATGTCCGCGGCCGTTACGCCTCTCTGCCAGGCACCAGGGGGGCGCGTAGGCAATAATACAAGGGGGTCGTCAGCGAGAGGGGGAAGGGGGGGCGGAAAACGCACATACGTGGCTGATACAAGAAGCCACAAGGGGATGGAAAGCGCACATCAGTAGCCGATACAAGCAATACACACTGAAAAAACATTCCTACATAAACAGCGCAAGAAAAGCCACAGCGGTAGGTAGATCAATAGCGAGTTTCCGCCGCTGCGAAAGGTTAGGCGGCGGGGCTGGACGACGCACCCGGTCGGCCTGTTCGCTGTCCGTCGCTTGGCTGTAGCCGGTCGGGAAGTAGTCGAAACCCGCACCCCATGATGACGGGGTCTGCGACCCCCCCTCCGACGGGCATAGCTGAGGGAACGGGTGTGAGGTGAAGCAGACGGCGCCAAAACGCCACAATAACGTAAGAAAAAGGGACGGCGGGGACAGAGAGCGGATGGTAGTCATATAGGGTGTTGCCGAAAAGAAGTTATGAGCAGATCGTGTGCCGGGAAAGCGAATGCTTCCAAGATATCAGCGCACCTTTTGGCGGAGAGGAAAATTTCAAGTTCTTTGCACCCGAGAGCACCCGCGTGCGCATATACTTTTTGTATCATTCAAGTATCAACCACGAACGAAAAAATGGTGATTTCGCCGCCACTACTTCTGTACTTTTTAGGTCGGAGGCGACCCCACATTGAGCTAGAAAAGTGGTAGAAGCAAGTTGAAGCGACATACCATGGACGAGAAGACAAACAATATACGGAGATCATTCCTTCCCGACAGTAACAGCCACATTCTCGATCTCATAAAAAAAAAACGCAAGAAAGAAACCAACCATCATTGCGCTATCCCTCCCAGGTTCTTCTCACCTCATCCGCCACCGCGTAGCTTTCCCCACCATCTTCGGAGGCACCACCGTTCTCCGCAGTAGAGGCGCTGTTGCCATCCAAGCGTTGGGCAGGAAGACGCCGGGGGCGGGCAGGCGTAACGGCTCCTCCTCCAGCAGCGCAAACACCTCCCGCGTCCGCCGCAGCTTGGTCTACCAAAACCCCTTGCGCGCATGCGGCCGCCGACTCCGGTCCCAATGCCGCCACGCTCGCATCACCACCAGCCGTCTGCATGACCTCGATCGCGTCATCTCCGCCGCCCGCAGCCGGTCTCTTGCCCGAGTCGTTCCCAAGCCCGACGACTCCGGCGGCGGGTTGTGTACCTCCCCCCACCGGACACGCCGTGCTCGTCTCGGTCGCTGCCGCACCAGTTCCTGACGACGACGACGACGAGCCAGGCTGACTGGCCGCGCGGGAGCGACCTTCGAGGCGGCGCGCTTCCTCCGGGAGTCCATCCCGGCGCGGCGTCGTTGGAGAGGGCGCCGTTCGGGGGGATACCGGGGGTGGGACATCATTTACCGCATGGGCTCCAGAACCGCCTGCTTCACGATCGTCCCGGGGTGGAGTCGTGGCGCTCCGCCCGGGGTCTCCAGAACCCTTTGACGAAGGGTCGTCTGAAGGGGGCGGCTTCCGCCCTCGCACCCGCTGCTGCTGCTGCTGCTGCTGCTGCTGCTGCTGCTCCAAGCCTCCTCCACCGGGAGCTCGCTGCTCCTTCCGATAGCCAGGCTTCCTATCCGATCCCTCACCCTCCGAGGTATCCTTGCCGAGATCCGCCGACAACGTCGGTGGAACTGCTGCTGAGCCCGAAACGTCCGCTAGGGCCGACGAACACGCCTCCGCAGCCACCGCCACAGACGTCTCCGCGTCGGTCGTGGGTGGTGGTGGTCGTGCGCCCGGGGATGGTCCGGTCTTCCTGCGGAGTGGGGCTTCGTCCCTGGCAGCCACAGCCGCTGCCGGGCCCCGCAAACACGACCCCTCTTCCTCCGTCGCGCCCTTCCTGGTCGGACCGACCACCGCCAACGCCACGGCTGCCCCTGCCTCCGGGGCTATCCCTGTAGCCGCCCCCGCAACACACGCCGAACGCGACGGCGATCCCCGACCAGACCGGTGGGCAGCTCCAGCACCACCTCCGCCGCCCGGCGGCGGCGGCGATTCCTGCATCGCCCCTGCAACAGCACCAGGCTGCTTATCATCCCGTTCGACAGGGGCCCACCGGCTGAGGGTCGTCCGCCTTCCTCCTCGCCGTGGCGCCGCCGTTGTTTGCTCCTCAGAGGACGGCTGCTGCGACTCGTGGACGGAAGGACGTTCCCCGCTCTGCGGCGCGCCCTCCGGCTCGGCTCTGCTGCGCCCCGTCGCCGCCGCCGGATCGCTGCCGTGGCCGGGGGAGTTCCTCGAGGTAGGAGGCGATGGCGCCCCCCCTAGTGATGGCCGCAGCGGCGCCTGGGGAGACGGCTGGGTCTCGGGTACGGACACGGCGCCCGCGCTGGTTTCATCCGCCGCCCGCCGTGCTCGGCTGTCTCCACAGAGAGTCGCCGCCGCCGCCGCCGCCGCCCCCGCCCCCGCCACGGCGCGGTCCGCAGAACAACCCCGAGGGCTTCGAGCCGCCCTTCCCTGACCCCCCCTTCCTGTCGCCGGAGCTGCTCGAGGAGGAGATCCTTGGGTCTCGGGGATAGATTCAGGAGGGCCCGCACTGGCGTTGGCGTTGGCGGTGGCGGTAGCGATCGGTGGAGTCTTTCTCGCGCTCCTGGTTCGGCGCCGCGTCGTTGTCGCGGCTGCTGCGACGGGGTAGTCTCGGCGGGAGGGCGCTTGCGGCGTCTCGGGGATGTGGGCGCAGACGTCCGCTTCCGCCACCGGCGTGGATCGAGGTGGTGGCGATGGAGACGACGGAGGCGGCGGCGATAATGTTGAGGCGCCGGGCTTGGCGAAACGCCGCGGCGGTGGCGATGGCGCGGGTTCGAGCGCCTCCGGGAGCGAGCCGGGGGGCGTCTCCAGGATGCACGATAACTTCGGGTGGGCGTGCGTGAAAAAAAGGTAAAGGTAAGAGGGCAAGGGGAGAGAGGAGGGGGGGAGGGGGGAGGGATAGGAGGGGAGAAAGAGGGAGAGAGAGACAAAGAAAGCGCAAGGGAGGGCGAGAGAGACAAGAATAGTATTAGGTTTGCACAAGAGACGCCGCCGGACATACTCACCCTAACGGTGTGTACTACCCCCACGCGCGCATGGCAGTGGGTGATCTCTGACATCTTCCAGAACGACAATCGGCAGCGCGCGAGGGAAGGTGGTGGAACGCCAACATGCAGCTGCAGGCAGGAACCAACTGTGACGAACCGTAGCCCTTCATATAACTTGCGCGGTGACGCAACTCCAGCACCCACATACCTGCGGAGAAGGCGTCTCCTGCAGCACCCCAGAGCCAGCGCCGTCACTACGGCCGCAAACGCTGCCGTTGGCGTCAGCTGCTTTGCCACGGCCACGCCGCGCGGTGCCCCCCGGGGTCTCCGCAGCACCGTCCAAGGCGTCTCCTCGCCCCCTGACCGTGTCGCCTTCACCAACCGCGGACCCCCCTTCACGGCGAGCGTCACCCCGCCCCGCCGACCTCTTCCCCGCCGCCCTGCCGGCCTTCTCGCCCCCACAACTCCTCTCCCCCCCCGGCGGCGGGGATTCATCCCCAGCCGGATGCCCCGAAGCGGACCTGCTGTCTTCTCCTACCCCCGTGCCGACGAAAGCGTCGCCGGCCGCAGATGGCGGCAGCGCCGCTCTTCCTGGCACGGCCGAGGAAGAAGTCTCACGCGGAGACGGCGCCGACGCGCGCCCCTCTTCTCCTCCAGGTCCCCCCGCGGCAACGGCTAGGACCCCCAGCGGGATCAGCTCCTCGAACAGGCCGCAGCCGCCGCTGTTGTTGCTGCTGCTGCTGCTGCTGCCGTGAGGAGGCGCGCCCCGGCGAACAGGAAGCGGAACTCGGATAGCGGCGGAGGATGCGCCGCTTTCGCCTACACCACCGCCGCTGCTGCTGTGTCGTCGTCGCCGTCGTCGCCTCGGACCCTCGCTGGAATCCCCCTCGGAAGCAGCAGCAGCAGCGGCGGCCAGGTCGACTGGCCCGGGGGTAGGCGTTGCTACCGCTGCCTCTCCTGCACTCCTGGCAGTGACCGCAACGGCAGGAGCAGCAGGAGCAGTGCTACTCATACTGGCGCTGGTGCTACTGCCATCGCCGCCCAAGAAGAGCTCCTGCAGGCGACGGGCCGGCACAGAAGCGGGCACCGACATCGTCGGTGCCGAAGCCGCCACCAGGCCGCTGCCGCCGACGTCGCTCCCTTCATGCAGGCGGTGGCCTGAGGCGGCATCACGTAGGTCGCCAAGGGAAGTCCGCTCCAGTCCGATATTTTCCTCGTCCTCACCGCTACCGCCGCCGCCGCCGGACTCACCAGCCCCCCCCCGGAGGATAGCCCTCGCCGCCGCCGCCTCCCCCGCCGCGTGTCTCCTGCTGTCTAATGTAGCGCGGCGCCGGCTGGGCGGGGGAAGGCTGACACCTCCGTCGAGCCTGGGAAAGCTGTGCGGAAAATCTGGTGGAGGGATGGGGGGGAACGCACGGACAAGAGGATGGGCATTCGAAGCGTGCGGAGGTCGAAGGTGAAAACGATCCTTCCGGCGTTGGGCGAAGACAAACGCTCTACAAGCCGCCGCACCGTCGTTTGGTTCCGAGAGTCATGGGAGGGGTGGGCGCCAGGAGACATCGAAAGAGCCATGGCACGAACGGGAGGAGTGCCTCTCGCGGGACCCTTCTTATCGGGCACAAAAATGGACGGCATGGCGTGGGAAGCCTGACTGGAAGCATCCGGTAGTCAGGTAGTGAATGGACGGAGGGGTCGATAGGAGCACACCCTCATGAGCGGGGGCATCTGATAGGAATCACCCGCCGCCTCTTGCAGTACCCACCGTCTCTGCCACGTCGCAGCATTTCCTTCTCCGGTGAGGAGCTACCAATGCGATCCAGACCGAGGGTGACACGGAACAAGCGCCCTGCGGAGTTTCTCTTTGTATCGAAGCCAAGACGGTACACACACAAAACTTTCTCCCACATCAACGCCGTTAGACTGACGACCATCGGGTGGAGACCCTGACGCGCAACACCAGCAGCATCACCTTGCGAGGCAGCAGGTCGCCGACGCTTGCCCCTGGCGCCGCCAGCCTTCTCCGACGGCGACCCCTCTAAGGAGACGGTTCTCGCCGGCTTCACTGCTGCAGAAGAAGAAGAAGAGGAAGGCGATCGCCCGCCTTCGCTGCCACCGCCGGGCGCTGCGGCAGCGGCACCAGTTGGCGAGGTCGACTTGTGGCCACCGCCGCTGTTCCGCCGGGCCCGTTTCTTCTTTCGAGCGGAGGGGGATGGCGACGCCATTTCGTACACCGGAAGGCGCTCAAAACGTTCAAACCCACCTTGGCAGGCGTCGTCTCTCTGCGGGCTCGCGTAAGGCCGACTCAACGCCGTGCGCGCGGCCTCTCTCTCTCTCTCTCTCTGGCTACTTCTCCGTGTGCATGAGTTTTTCCCTGTCGGGGAGAGGAGGCAGCCTCAGGTCCCTGCGGACAACAGTGCGACATGAGGAAGGGAGAGCACGATTACAGTGTGGGCATCAGCTGTGGTCGACTGCTCGCTCGATCGCACCTGCACATGAGCGTTGGTATGCTTGGGGTTACAACTGGAGTGGTCCGTCCTGGTGCGCTGAAAGAGACACAAAGTGCGGTTCGTGAGGGGACGTTATTGACGACCGGCAAAGCCACACGGCTGCGTGGAGCGCTGCACAGCAAAGCCGTGGCAACACTCCCACGTCTGCGCCTCTTACAAGACGGACCTGCACGTGGCATGTGCGCAAAAAATGCTGCGTGGTTAGCTGCGTGGTGTACACGAATAGCACCGCGGCGAAGTATCAAACGGGGACAGAACGGCTTATTCCCCCACAGGCGGGGCCACCATAGGTTGCACAAGATACCACACCCCCTGGAACGGATAAGATTACTCTGAAGCAAAAAAAAACAGAAAAAAAACAGTCGCGGCGTACAAATTGACGGCGTTGGAACTGTCTCGTGGAGAGCTTTCCGAAAAAGAATCATACAGGTTTTGGTAGCTTCATCTTCGTCGTCTAGGACAACAATGTCTAGACGATTGAAACTCTGTGTACGGGGGTGTGGTATCTTACGAACTTGTGGCATCATTGGGAGACCGACCCTCTGTAACATGTCGGGAACTATTTTTCCTAATCTGTGAAGCAACATTCACCAATATCGGTACGTTCATGAGACTTGTGAAGAAAGCAACGCATTCGCAAGATGGAGGCAAAGCGTGCGGAAAAATGACCTGCTGGATATCTACTTATCAAGGAGTACAACAGCAGCAAACTGCTGTACCCTGCGCCTGCAGCTTCTGCTGCGCCTGCTGTTGCGGGGGAAAGAGGCATGAACTAATGTAATACGTGCGGAGAACAGCAGTCAGTACATGCGCTTTGAAGTGCCAGATACAGCAAAAGCCCTGGGCTGGACGCACTCCAACTGTCAACGCCACAAACCAGAGCAATGCTACACGTATCTTTTGCATCCGGGCGGGCTGTGCTGCTGTGTCCGGAAGGCGCGGTGGATATAAACCAAATGCTCGTTGTGTTTGCTAATTCGCTGCAGACAGCATAGAACAGGCAGAGACATCTGGAGTTAGCGTGCCTTCATGGGCTGCCGCTCACCTCAAGCCAGAGAACCGTGGAATATACCAGAAGCGCTCACCCCGAGTTGCAGACGGCGGAAAGCGCTTGGGGTGACGTTAGCCCCTTGCTTGTTTGGCTGGCTGCTGCGGGGAGTCGCACTACACAGTACTGCTACACACTGCCCTGGATTTAAAAAAATTGTGAACCAGAGGGGCTCCGTGCATCACACCACCGTACGCAGAAGAAAGAGGCTCCGATAAATCACCTGCACCCCGCTCCGCTCCTATGTACGTGGTGCCTGCCAACCGCCCCCAGACCTAGGCGGGGGAGAGGAGGAGTATTGATGGCAGTAATCACTGAAACACTGGTGCTTTTTCTGGTGGTGGGCTCATGGAATCGAGCTGCAGCTTTCACCTCGTCAGGTATTTGTCCCCCTTTTTTTTTGAATCGACAAATCAACCATTGCATTCCAGCGAACCAACCGACACTCCCCGCAGCAGCAGAGCAAGCAGCCAGCAGCTGCTGTAGCAGCCTCATCGCACAGCAGCAGCTAATTTTACGCGTGCCTCGAAGCGTTGATGGGGCTTGCTGCACCTCGCTGGTGGACCTGCTTCCGGTTCCCGGTGGTGTGCGAACTGCTCAGCGACCACGTATGCATAGTGAGCGGACGACGATGACACAGATCAAGAGCGGGCCTTTGGGGAATCTGCCGAGATATTTGTGCATGCGGTACATACATTACCCGTTGTGCTTTCAGTAGAGGCGCGGCATGCTGCCGCACAGCAGCACAGCTCACCTCTTGCCTTGAAGGCTCCCGACTCCGAGACTTCGTCGCCACTGTTGCCAAGACCTATCCAAGTGTCGCCGTATATATATACTTTCGCCGCACACGAAGTGTTGAACACAGGGAGATCGTGTCCGCGCTGACTCCTTTCTGCCGCTTCGGTTCATTCGCGCGTGTCCAAACTATCTATCCAAGCCCCACTGCATGACATTTCCCACGGCAACTTCATGGCTTCGTTGCCCTTGAGAGAGGAGCCTAATCGAGAGAGGCTTTGCGCTCGAAGCAATGGAAATGACACGATGACATGCTGTCTATTAATAGCTTCCAAGTGCCCTACGATCGCTTGCCCACACTCGGCGACCACACTCGGCAACGAGACATGACCAGCTTTTTGTAGCTTTGACATCCTGGGATACACACACACTGTGATACACATCATACAACTCTACCCAAACAGCGCGTAGGATCCGGTTCCACGATGACCCAATTTGTTGCGCATGCCAGCCGGTGATCGAACAGCCAGCCTCGTCCCCTTACATTGTGGTCCCGATTTAGCGGTTTCCCGGGCCGTGTTTAGCGGGGGAATCTCGTTGTTCCGCGGCACCCCGGTTTAGCGGTTACATAACCGCTACACGCCGAGTTGTTTCCAGCGAGCAATATTGTAGCGGTCTTTGATTCAAATCTTCGAAGACTCCCCCGGCGCGCACACCATGCACACGCCTTACGCCGGGGGGAGCCCGATGACTGCTGTAGCAAGGTTGTTCGAAATATCTCCTGCTATGTATGCGTATCAGAGTGGCGTATCTTCGTGGCAGGCAGGTTGACGCGGTCGATACTATTCAATGGAAACACAAAGAAGTTCGCGACGCTACGTATGACCCGCTAAAACGGGGACCCCCACCGCTGTACACGAAACAGGGCCAGAAGGGCGACCGACTCGACTAAGGAGTCCGCCACGCTCTTGTCGACACTCCCACCACCACCACCACCACCACCACCACCCGCTCAGCGATGACCACCACCCGAGGATCACGGGCAGACCGCCGCAACGGCCACGGCGACGACGACGACGACGGCGACGGCAAGGTGAAAAAGTTGGATCGGCACCATCGTCGCCGTCATCATCACCGTCGTCGTTGTCTTCGTCTCTGGATGAGCTGCTGGAGATCACCTGCGACGGGACCAACACCACCGCCTTCTCCGGCACAGTTCCCCTCGCCGTAGGCAGGGAGATGGAAAATACTCTCCACGGAAGCGGCAGCGTCGAGGCTAGCGGTAGCGCGGCGGCGGCGGCGGCGGCAGAAGCAGGATGGGGCCGACGCCGGACGTCCTCCCCGGAGGGAGAGCGGGCGGAGGACCGTTCCGGAGGCCGTTCCAGGGACGGTTCCGCGGACCTGATGGTCTCGATGAGGCAGCTCTCGATACTGGGCGCCTTGGCGGGGGTGGCTGCCGTGGCCGTCGACTACGAGCACGGTATGGCGGGCTTCCTCTGGATTCAGGACTGGGTGAGTTTTCGAGATACATGCCAAGCCACCCATATGTCGTGCGCGAAAATACCGTGGCTATCGTTGTCATGGTTGTATACCGTACACTGATATTTCGCTATAGATCGTCTCTCGTGTTGTTACGCAAGCCTGGAACGCCTAATCTACATGGCGTCGCCCCCCCCCCCCCCCCGGGCAAACCCCCCCCCGCCCTTCCCCCCCCCTTTTTTTTTTTAAGGGGGGGGGGGCGGGGCGGAATTTTCCCCCCAACCCCCCGGGGAAGGGGGCGGGGAGGGGGACCCCACCCCCCCGAAGAGGGTTTCCACCGGAAAGGGGGGGGGGGTTACCGGGGGCGGGAAAAAGAAGGGGAAATTTTCCCCGGAAAAAAAAAAAAAAAAGAAACAACCCTCCAAGGCCGGGGGGGAAAAACGGGGGCCGCCGCCAAAAGGGGGCCTTTTGGTTTCCGGGGGGGTTTCCTTGGGGGTCTCTTTAACTTGGGGGCAAAGCGGGGAATTCCTTTTTGGGGTGGAACTAAAGGGGGGCAAAAAATTTTGTATTAAAAAACTCGAAAAAAAAAAAAAAAATTGCGAAGGAAAAAAAAACCATATTTTTTTTCCAA